GAAAGTCTGGCTCCAAGTGGTTTATTTAAGCACAGCACAACTTGGTGAAAACTTAGTCTGATGATTATTATCTCAGTCCTTCATGTGCAAACGCATGTGCATAAGTCTCCTTGGGGAACAAAGTAAGCTAAACACAGATTAGAGTAACTATGCCAAAACTCTTTATAAACTCCATATAGATAGGTTCTATAGATTAACAGAGAAACACAACCCTATGATAAGGGTCTGGGGGAGGGTCCATTGTGGTCTCCAACCACACAGAGAGGGCAAAGGTCACCAGGCTAGAAAATATGTCAGCACTCAGCCTTCTGGGCAGATAACAGGTATTGCATTCCTTCCCTTGAAGGAACTGTCGAGAGCAGGCAATAAGCACCTTGGCCTAAGAACTGCCATTTTGACTTCAGACTCCATTTCACCTGTAGGGTGAGACAAAGTTCAGGTTCCCAAGCCCTAGGGGAGCTGGAACCTTCCACTAATTGACCCACCTCCTCCTTAAACCATAGAAATAGTCGTTATGCAGCTTTAGTTCTCTAGAAACATCATGGCTGGTCCTAACAACAGAAGGAACAAATGAACCTGATTGGTTGGGCTGAAAGGCTTGAATTGTATGTTGGTTGGCAATAATGGAACATCCAAGGAAGGCCCTAATCTTTGATTTCTGATTGGTAAAAATTGTAACTGTAACTTGGCAACAAATGTTCGTGATTTCTGTGCTTAAATACTTGCTTCAACTGACATTCGGGGTCACAGTTCAGCTCCCAAGTCTGTTCTGCAGCCCTGATTGATCAGCCTCTCTCCCTTCTCCCCTTCTTTTGAGCTGCCCTGTATTAAATCTTGCTTTGCGATAACCTCTTGTGTCTGCTTGGGTTGATTGGGAGTCTCGGACCACAACAGAACAACAAAGACTCTGTGCCCCCTACAACATAATAGAATCCCAATGCTATTGGTTCTAAAAACTTAAACTCAGGGGAAAAAGGAAAAAGAAGACCTCAGAATGTGAAGCAGTTCTGTCCAAGTGATGGGATTATAATATTACTTTCTTTGTATCTCCACGTTTTCAAGTCTTCTACAATGCACATGTCATCTTCAAAATCGGAAAAATAATTTCAGATGGAGGAGCTGGTACTTGGGAAAAGAATAAAATCATCTTTTCATCTCATACAAGATAAAGGAAGACATTTGCATATGAAGACAGCGATGCCTGGAGGATGGGAAGAAAGAGTCTGGGACGGAGCCTGTGCCAGACAAGCAATGCTGGTCAAATCAAGAACTCAGTCATTAGGGGGCTGTAATGGCTAGTCTTGGTTGTCAACTTGACTACATCTGGAATCAACTAAAACCCAGGCAGCTGGGTACACCGCGGACAGTGACTTTCTAGATTGGATCATTTGAGGTGGGAAGACCCGCCCTAAATCTAGGCCACACTTTCTGGTGTTAGCCCACATAAAAGGACGTGGAAGAAGGAAGCTTTTGCTCTTGCCTGCTTGCTCTCACTCTTGTTAGCAAGTTCATCTACGCTTTTGCTGAGGCGTTCCTTCACTGGTGCTGGAACCCATTTCTTTGGTATGCCAATGTAGACTGAAGATCCGCTAAGACATCTAGCCTGGTGGACTGAACAGCTACCACATTCTTGGCCTTTCTGTTGGAAAACAGCCGTTGTTGGACTACCTGGAACACAGCCTGTAAGCCACTCTAATAAGTTCCCATTTTAGAACATATACATTCAGGCTGAAGAGATGGCTCAGTGATTAAGAGCACTGGCTGCTCTTCCAGAGGACCTGGGTTCAATTCCTAGTACCCATATGCTGGCTCACAACCACCTATACCTCTACTTCCAAGGGATCCAAGACCTTCTTCTGGCCTGTAGCTTTATGGACAGAAGGCACTTATAGGTTACAGAGGCATACATGTAGGCAAAATACCCAAACACACAAAATAAAATAAAAATAATTTAAAAAATAAAATTTTATATATATATATATATATATGAGATTTCATTCTATCAGTTCCTTTAGAGAACCATGACAAAATACAGAAGCTTTTCTGCAAGAAGACAATCCTCTCTTTGGTAAACAGACACCTTTTAATTTTTGTTCATTTTAGAATTTTAGTACCTTTTAAATAAGAAGTGTCTGGAAGAATGATGCTGAAATTAATCCATAGCTCAACTTTTTCCAAATTTATTGAAAATCATTAGGCATCCACAGCCTCTGCAGTGTCTGATTAACTTTAATAAGCAAAGTGTGGCAGGCCTCTTGGTTTTCTGGTAATTACTCCCAGCCACCATCACAACAGCTGCCCATCATCGGCGATGCACTTGCCCTGCAAATTAAGTAATTGACAATAACTCATAGCCCACATCTAGCCAATGGGCTTAGCTCTCTCATCCGAAGAAATGAAGACGTGACTTGGATGTCGAAGCGCAGCCTTGTTCACACAACAGGAACAGAGAAAGTACTTCCTCCAAGAATCCCCAGCCACACCCCAGGAACTCAACAGTCTCTGGCACCAGCAGGGGGCGCCTGCCTTTCTCAGCGGGCTTCCTAACTTCCTATTACAACAGTCTATGGATAAGGAAACCAAAGCCCAGAGAAGTGAAGTGACTTCCCCCAAAGTCTCACAGCTGGTTGGTGGCACAGTCAAGGAGAGAATTCAAGCCCATCGATAGCAGACATCTCTCCCTCACCATCATTTTCCATACTCATGAGAGGGGTATCAGAACAGCAGAATGAGTAGCACAACACATTTTCCAGTACAATTACTGAAGATGCCCCACCCCCCAGGACTGAGAAAAACATGGCCCCAGAAGGGGGAAAATATATATATATGACACACTAGCCTTAGGAGCCTTGGTCCTGGTGTTCAGAGCAAAACCTCTTGGATAGACTTGTCTAAATACTTTCTAAAACCCATTTGTGTCTTGAGGTTGTGTCGCCTAAGAAGTGACAGGCGCCATATACTTATCACCAGTTTTACAAAACAGCACAGTGCCAGAGCTTCTGATTGTCAGTGCCATGGCTGACAGCCTTGGCAATAGGCATCTAATAAAAACAAAAGGGTCCTGAGCACTCAGGTGTGACAGAGCACATCAAGCTTCACACACTAAGCTCACGTTTGCTTTGGCAAAATGATGAACAAAATACATAAAGAGGTAGACTTGAGGCCTCGGGAGACAGAATGCCTGCCAGCTGAGCAGAGTGTTAAAGGAAGGCAGGGACAGCAGAGTTATATAAAGGCCTGTCCTTCCTCAGCCGAACCTGTTTCCTTGACCCGTAAAATAGGAATAAGCGCTTCTTTGCTTACATGATTGTTCTTCCAAATTAAAAAGATTCTGCTTATGTAAAGCAGGCAGCATAGGATTTAACAGATATTCAATCTTCCATAAGGTAAATATTAACATAATTCTAGAAAGCAATACTAAATTATGGCAGTAAAAAGGCATGGATTTTTTAAATTTTCTATAATATAATTTAATTCTTTCCAGAGAAAAATTTTGGATGCAAAAAATAATGATGATGATGATGATGATGATGATGATGATAACCAGAGTGACACTGCTGGATTAGAGAGATTTGTGTCATTGTTGACCTGTAACCTGCAAACTCAAGTGAAACACAGTAGTCATAAGTCAAGTTAGTAAACTGAGAGCATCTCCTTCCTTCACCCCATCTCTTTTCTGGGAAGGGGTCACACAGGAGCAGTAACTGAAGGTAATACACACCTTAGCTGAACCGTAGGGACCCTACAGACCTCGGAGAGGGCAGGTCTCACGCCTCCACTGACAAAATTCTTTTCTTAATAATACTGAAGAGCCCCTGGAGAAAGATGTTGACTTGCTCTTCAGGAGTCTGTCTAAGTTAAGGTTATTGTTGCTGTGATGAAACTCCATGACCAAAAGCAAAAAGGGTTTATTTGGCTTATACTTTCACATCACTGTTCATCACTGAAGGAAGTCAGGACAGGAACTCAAGCAGGGCAGGAGCCTGATGCAGATGTCATGGAAGAGTGCTGCTTACTGGCTTGCTCCTCATGGCTTGCTCAGCCTGCTTTCTTATAGAACCCAGGACCACCAGCCTGGAGACAGCACCACCCACCATGGACTGGGCCCTCCCCATCAATCACTAATTAAGAAAATGCCTTACAGGCTTGTCTACAGCCTGATCTTATGGACCCATTTTCTCAAATGAGGCTCCCTCCTTTCCAATGAACCTGGCTTGTGTCAAGTTGACATAAAACTAGCCAGCACGGAGTGCACTGGCATAATCAGGTTCCAAACAGGAAAAGCAATGACACTCCTGACGTCCTTCCTAGAGGACACTATGACTATGCTGAGCGTCAACCTCTCCCAGCCAGCTCCCGGTGGCTGAGATGCTTCCTCAGCACAGTTGGCCTGCAGATGCAGCAGCAAAAAACCCATTTTGAAAACAGCCTGGGTTTCACAGCAGGAAACAACTCATACATTTGCTGAGGAGATGGTAAGCCGGAGCATAAATCCTACAAGGTGCACATATTCACATACCCTGAAATATTTTATTATGGGTTAACAGTTCCCTTGGTATTCACTTCCAGCATGGAGCGTGGAGGGCACAGGAGCCAAGTGGCAGAGTCTCCAACTGAGTATCCATCATGCATCTGAGGTGCTGAGGGGCACGTGGCATAAATTAGCTCACTTAATTTCACAGCAACCTCGACATAATGGGAACTTGTGGGGTTGGGGTTGTTTTGGTTTCATTTTTTTTGTTTGTTTGGTTGGTTGGTTGGTTGGTTGGTTGGTTTTTGGATTTTTGGAAGCAGGGTCTTGCTAGATGGCCCTGAAAGTCCTGGAACTCACTATGTAGACCAGGCTGGCCTTGAACTCACAGAGGCAGACAGATCTCTGCCTCTGCCTCTGCCTCTCAAGTGCTGGGATTAAGGACACTCAAAAATTAATCTGAAGTGTGTGACAAAACTGTGCTTGCCATATCACCCCATGGCAGACCAAAGTACTGATAACACCAAAGTTCAGCTTGTGAACCATGAGTTTTATTGGGGTTACTTACAGGAGCAGAAATGACTTCAAAAACAGCTGCATCACAAAGGGCCACCTCAGCAGGGGTGACAGCTCACAAAAGGTAGAAACCTGAAGCATACAGTTTGTAGACAGCTCAACGGGTTGGAGAGTGTCCTTTCCAGGTGCCTCAGTTGGGCTAAACCTCTTCCAGGCGGCTCAGCTGGTTTCTGCTTCTTCCAGCTGTCTTTGGTCTAGTCTTCTTTGCAACGTTTCTCCTCCGAGAGTCTTGGTAGCTCAACTTGGATTCTCTGAGAGGGACTCTCCGCTTTTATTGCTTACTCTGACAGGGAGGGGCCTAGTGCATCTGGTCAGTTTCAGAGACTTCCAGAAGCCATTTTGAGTTGTTTACCTTCCTGATGAAAGAGCTTCCCTGTTGGACAGAATGTATCAATCTCAGAGGAACTGGTTATACATCACTATGGTTCACACATAGTGTGAGCAGGATTGGAAACCAGCCACATCAAACCCATGCTTCCTCGTGGTTTCCTTAAGTCCAAACCACACATCTAGCCACTAGGCCATTATTTCTTTAGTCACCCCCACCAGCATTCACGGGATGTTAGATGTATGCTTAGGGAACATAGGTAAGAAAGACAGACCTTCCCTGTAGAGATCCACAGTCTAGGCCTAGATGCAGGCACATAAGTGAATGATTACAGTCTGAGCTTTATACAATGCAGTAGTTGAAGAAAAAAGGCAGGAAAATAATGTTAGTGAAATTTGAGGGTCTTTTATTTACTACCCACTGTACCTGTACACACTGTCATTTTGAAGCATGGGACATCATAGAATATCAGTATTTTAGAGACAAGGGAAGATTGGGTTGCCTGGTCTCTTGGTTTTCTCTTTTTCCATCTGTATTAATTACTTATCCTGTTGCTGTGACAAAATACCTTCCAAGGACAATGTAAGGGAAGAAGGGTTTAGCATACTTGTGGTTTAAGAGAGGACACAGTCCATTATGGGAGGGAAGGCATGGAGCAGGAGCATTAAGTGTCTCATTAAATAGTCTCGATGGTAAAAAAACAGATTCATGTGGTACCCTACTTGTTTTCTCCTTTTCACTCAGTATGGTGGTTTGAATAGGAATGGCCCCACAGACTTATGTGTTTGAATGCTTGGCCCATAGGAAAGGGCACTATTAGGAGGTGTGGCCTTGTTGAAGTAGGTGTGACCTTGTTGGAGGAAGTATGTCACTGTAGAGATGGGTTTGGAAGTCTTACATACTCAAGCTATGCCCAGTATGATAAGCAGTCTCCTTCTGCTGCCTGTGGATCAAGATGTAGAAATCTCAGCTCCTTCTCCAGCCCCATGTCTGCCTGCACCATGATGATAATGGGCTAAACCTCTGAAACTGTAACCCAGCCCCAATTGAATGTTTTTCTTTATAAGAGTTGCCATGGTCAAGGTGTCTCTTCACAGCAGTATAAATCCTAACTAAGAGAGAAGTTGGTACCAGGGACTGTGATAAGCCTGACCATGCTTTTGTTTGGAGGAATGTGAACTTTGGGAGTTTGGATTAGAAAAGCAATTGAATGCTTTAAGTGGGGCTTAATGGGCCATTTTAGTAGGAGCATGGAAGATGGTGGTGCTGAGAGTAATTTGAACTGTGGAGCCTGGATCAAGAGGTTTAAGGGAAGAAGAATGTTAGTATATGGCCTAGAAACTACTTTGTGATATTTTGGTGAAGAATGTAGCTCCTTTTTGCTCTTGTCCAATAAGTCTGCCTGAGGCTAAAACTAAGAGTTTTGGATTAATTTCATTGACAGATGAAATTTCAAAACATTCTAGTATTGATTCTGTCGTATGGTTATCAGTGTTCACTGTTATGAAGATTTATAAAGAAAAGGAGCAAGCAGAGAAAGGAAAAATACAAAATGTACAATTTGAGGAGAAAGGGAGCACTAGGAAGTGGAATGGAACTAAATCCTGTGTTCAAGGAGATAAACAGATTGAAGAAAAGCCTGATGTTAAATGGAATAAAGGGAATGGAGACATCAGGGCAAGATCCCACCCAGCTAACCTTCCATTCTTCCTAAAAAGGAATTGAAGAACAGATCCAGGCATTGTGGAACATGCCTTTAATCCTAGCACTCAGTAGACAGAGGCAGGCAGATTTCTGAGTTGAAGGCCAGCCTGGTCTACTGTAGCAAGTTCCAGTATAGCCAAGCTTAAGCAGTGAAAGAAATCGTCAAAACCAGAAAGCTAGTGAAGATGTAACTGGATGAGGGGGCCATGTTCCAGCCCCAGAAAGCAGCAGAACTTGGCAGCTTTGGCCATGTGGCTCTAGCTTTAGAGTTAAGGATATAAGAAAGGAGTTATGGAATCTCCCTCCAAGACTAAGAAAAGCCACTGAAGTCAGGGGTGTCACTGCATGGAGGCTCAGAGTGGCCATTGTGTGAAGCTATAAAGGTGAAGCCTGGATTGCCTTGGAGACCCCAAAATTTTGGAGATGCTAGAGCCATGGGATATCTGCCAAGGAAAGCTGCTAATAGTGAAACCAGTCCTGGAGATAGAAGTGTGTTGCAGTCAACAAAGATAAAAGGAGTTGGAGATCTGAAGAGTGCTTTGACATCAGACATGGAGATGCAGAGTTTAGAGTTTGCCCAGATGCAGAGTTTAGAGTTGGCTTTCAGTCTTGCTTTGGTCCAGTATTTCCTCACTATACTCCCTTTACTCCATTTTGGACAATAATATATATCCTGTGCCATTATATGTTGGAAGTGTGTAATCTGCTTTTTTATTTTAATTTCACAGGGGATTACAGTTAAGAGATTGCATGAGTCTCAGAAGAGACTTTGAACTTTAGACTTTTAAACATTGTTGAGACTATGATAGACTATGGGGATTTTTGAAGTTTGACTGAATTCATCTCTGCATTATGTTATAGCTACAAGCTTATAGGGTCCAGAGAGTAGAATGTGGTGGTCTGAATAGGAATGGCCCTAAGACATTCAGTCTGGGACCTTAGCCCACTGGATGTGCTAGCAACATTCATGGTGGTTCCTACCTTCTTAGTTAAATCTCTCTTCAAACTCCTTCACAGACACCTCCAGAGGTGTGACTCTAAACAATCAACTTTACAATCAAAGTTAACCATCATGCCATCCTACCCAGTTCCCCAAGAAAAAAACATTCAAGCTAGCCTTTAGAGGCATGACAGGGAAGTGTAACCCATGAGAGAAGGTAAAAACACTTGCAATTACAGAAAGAATGATAGTGAAGATAGCTGGTGGAACTAAGATCGTTCACTGTTCACAGTCAGATGAAAGACTCAGCCACCTCTCCTGAGCCCTCTTCTCTGTATTTCTCTTCCTTCCTTTTGAGATGTCTCCACAGCTTGACTTTTTCCCCTCCTGAGTGCAATTGGTTTCTTCTTACAGTCGTGGATGGTGCCTTATGGAATAAGCATTCACACGCCTTGGAGTCTCATCTTGAAGGTTATGTAGCAGCTATGACTATGTACCTTGCAAACTTCCAACTAGAAGCACTGTAAAGATTAAGAGCACCAAGGCCTGTGGTCTGGATTCCATTGCCATGTTCATTTCAAGACCAGTTCACCCTGGTGAACTTGAACAAAGATTATATAACTTTTCATTGTTGAGCTGCTCTCAACAATGTAAAGTTAACCAATGCAACACTGCTCTAACTATACTACACAAATAATCATAAGTCATAAATTCATTATTATACAACCTGTTTTATAAACTGTAATTCTTGTTTATTTTATCAGTAATGTAGATGTGTATTTTTCTAATTTCCAATTTTAAACTAATACTTTTGTTATCTTTTTTGCACTTATTTATAGCAAAAGTGTATTGTGATCATACACTATATAAATATAGCTACTTGACATGTTAGGTTTTTTCCACTCTATATAGGCTGAAAGTTTGTGAGTATTCTATATGCACTTGAGAATAACCCCATTCCACCTTCATAAGAATTTGTTCTGTGAGGACCTTGTAGGCAGGTTTGTGTGGCGTGTTCTTCAGCACTTTGAATTCTTACTGCTTTTTTCTGATTGCTTCATCAGCTTCTGATAGGTATGCAGATAATGTTGGTAAGTTTATCTACTGAGCCCTGAAGTTTTCCGAATTTTCACGATACACATTTTGACATTATATTTAGTAAAGAAGTTTAGAAATGCCCTAGATTCTTGATGAGGATTCCTTCTGTCATTATCTATATATTATTTACATTGATGGTTTTCATCTTAAAGTCTATTTTATCCAATGTTAATACAGCTATCTTAGCTGTCACTGTCAGCTTTAGCTCTTAAGGTTTTTTTTTTTCCTATTTTTATCAGTCTTTCTAAATCCTTACGTAGAAACTGCATCTCATAAAGGCTATAAAGTTTCTTTTTAGCATAGTCTGATCATTTCAACTACAATATCTACTTCACGTACACTGACATAATGTGACATATGCGCATGTAAGTCTGATATTTGATACGTGCCTCTTTTATGCTCTTTTTTCTCTCCATTCTCTATACATTTAATTGTTTTTATTTCAACTATTCATTTTTCCCTTCTACTACATGCCTTGGGGATTCCTTCAATAATTACCATTGAAATTACAATATTTATTCATCTTTATCAAAATATGATGTTAATTAATATTCTTGTCCTAGAAAATGCAATGACCTTGGAAGTTTCAAACTCCGCTCTTTACCTCACTCAATCTTTACTTGCATGCTATTGACATTCTGTGATTAATTCTGTGCACATTTTTCACTTCTGGAAGGCAAGATGATGGATGATGATAATTATATAAACAACATATCCATGTCCACTGAGCCACAACTCACCGTTGCTGTTCACCTTCAATGCTTCCTGTATCTCCAGCTCTGTATCTGGCCTAATACTCCTTCTGTCTGAACTTTACCCACTTAGTATTTCCTCTGTTGCTGACCTGCTATTGATAAATTCTCTGGTTCATGTGTCTAGAATGTCTTTATTTTCCTAGTATGTAGAACTTTACCTTGCCTTTTTTTTTTTCTTTCAGATTTTTGAGTCCTTTCTATTTGGACCACCATGACTGCTAATGAAAAGTTAGCTTTTGGTTTAATGACTGCTGTTTTCAAGCCAATACTGGGAATTTGCTTGATCTCTCTTGGTATATTGTTCATGGAGTTTCCAGTGTATTCTGTTTAAAATGTGTTCACTTCTTAAAATTATGAATATTATCTCCTATCACTTTCAAAGTTTCCAGATACTATCTTTCATTTCTCTATTGTCTCATTAGAAACTGTTCATAGATTCATGGCTTCCTCTCCTCTCTGAGAGTCCACTTGAATCATTGCCCACTGGGCTTCCTGTCCCTCTGGCCTTCTTTTCAGTGATTTTCCTTTTGTCTAACCAACTTTACTCTTGATACATTCATCACAGAATCTTTAACTTGCTAATTCTTTCTCAAATGTGCCCAATTTTCTAGAAACTCCATCTAAATTATAATTTTGTTTATAATATCTTTTAGTTCCTATTTTATACTCTTTATACTCTGTCACTTTTTAGATAGACTCTGTAGTTTTTTCTTCTCTTCCAAAGATTTCCTTCAACAGAATAAACAGTTGTTTTACACTTTATGTCTCATTATTCAGCATCTATATAACCTATGTGTCTACATGGTCTTCAGTTTCTATTCTTTCTCTCTGTTTTGTTTCCTGAAACAAAACAGATTCTTATCTGAAAAAAGTATTTACTGGTATAATTTGAGGCATAAGATGGCAACATCTTTCCTAAGCATTTTAGAGACGTGAGCAGTAGAAGACCACATTAACCTCCGTCAAAGGCTTTAGAGTTCCAAAATATCATGTGACACACACACAAAAAAAAAAAACGTCCAGTTTGGACAAGAAAATGAGTTTGATTCATTTGCATTGCATTCATGTAGCATTTTCTAGGCCATACTTCTGGGAGCTACCACAAATCTAACTCCTCTGCTCTCCCTTGGTCTGACACACATTCCTCCTAGGCAAAGCACCTGAGCTCCTCACTTGGCTTCTGGCTCACAACTTGGCATTACTCACTGTCCTATACGCTCTCTGATGATTTTGAGGAAATTTGTTCCCCAGATTTTTAAATTCCCTTTAGTAAAGCTGACTGGCCCAAATTGCCTCAACTGTTATTATCAAAACTAGAATTCCCCCATGTTGCCCAGATCTGTGGACTCTGTTTATATGAAACCAAGAAATAGGTACTTACCTTAAAACTTACTGTTCCAGGCTGGATAGATGGCTCAGAGGTTAAGAGCACTGGCTGCTCTTCCAAGAGGTCCTGAGTTCAATTCCCAGCAACCACATAGTGGCTCACAACCATCTGCAATGAGATCTGGCGCCCTCTTCTGGCCTGCAGAAATGCATGCAAACAGAACACTGTACACATAATAAATAAACCTTAAAAACAAAACAAAGTTAGTTATAGTTGAAGATTAATTAGGATAGAAAGTGAATTAGATACATTTTGGACTTAACAAAATAGGATAGATAATGAAATTATTTTCTCTGAATTTGTCAAATACAAATGGACTAGACATTGTTTAGACATTTATTACTTGTATATATTGTATATAGTCATTGTACTTTTGTATATAATTTTTCTTTTGTTAGTTATAACCTTTTTCTTTTTTTTCCTTTTTATTAAAATAGAAAAGGGGAAAAAAAATAAATACATTTTAAGATTGAAAAAAAAAAAAAATTAGGCTTTGTATCATTTGACAAGCCAGAATACATAGAAGATAATCTCTATTTTATGTAAAGTGAACAGTTATCCTTCCAAGTGTCCTTAAATATAAACTTTCAATGAATGGTGTGATTATTTTGATCGTGCTTGTTCTCCAAATCAAATTAAATTCATTGTCTACAATAAAAAAAAAAAAAAAAAAAAAAAAAAAAAAAACAAAGGGCAGGGCAGTGGTAGTGCACACCTTTAATCCCAGCACTCGGGAGGCAGAGGCAGGTGGATCTCTGTGAGTTCAAGGCCAGCCTGGTCTACAGAGCGAGATCCAGGAAAGACTCCAAAGCTACACAGAGAAACCCTGTCTCAAAAACAAAACAAAAATTACTGTTCCCGACATTCTAATTCTATCAGCAGCATATTTACCATATAGAACATAGACAGTAGACACTGGGTATAAATTGTCTAGAAATATGGATTTTGCTCACATCCCTAATTTCTCTTCCCCTTTCTTTTTCCTCCCTTCCTCCTCCCTCTTCTTTTCTCCTTCTCTGCCCCCATTAGCCACCAGCAATCAAATGCCCCAATAGCTTTCAAGCTCATCCAAGAGAGAAAGCAACATGGCCATTCCATTCTTGCAGGCAGCTCTCCCGGAATATCCTTCTACTGCTTTGTGAGAAGGGAAGGGGAGGTAAGGGAGCCTTGTTTTTATCACAGATACTGCCCTCTGTTAAAAGTCTATTCTCTTCAGTTCTCTTCTCTACATCCAGGTAGTAAACTTCCCTTGAAAGAATAACTGGCCCCATGCAACTCATTCTGGTCCCTGAACCTAGAATATAAGAGTTTAGTTTTTCCTGGTGTTAGCACTAGACTTTGTGATAATACAAGGAAATGTACACTTTAGCTAATGCCACCCCACTGTACTCAATAGGGTGATATTTTCTCAACAATAAGAATGTGCACAAAATATAATGGTTACAGTGGTTATGGAGGACACTCATACATTCACTATATTTTTATGGTATTATCAGTATCAACATAGACCATTGGAGGGGGTTGGAGTTTTAAAGATGTATTTGTATAGTTTATGTATATGAGTGCTCTATTGCATGTACGCCTGCATTAGCTGTCATTATAGATGGTTGTGAGCCACCATGTGGTTGCTGGGAATTGAACTCAGGACCTCTGAAAGAGCAGGCAGTGCTCTTAACCACTGAGCCATCTCTCCAGCCCAGCCATTTTATTTTTAATCATCACCTTTTCATTTTAATCCTTCCTCCAAGTCCAAAACGAAGCAATTGTTTTTGCACACTTTGGGATGACTACTTTCCAAGCCTCTGTTCTTCTCATAGTTAACCCTTCTCCTCTACGACTAGCAAAGCACAGGGACGTTGCCTGCGTTGCCCAGATCCCTGCACCCTCATCACACCCGTGAGCCCCTTCTGACCTCTTCATCCTTTAACAAAGGGCATCTGAAACAAACCACAGCACATCTAGTTTGGGGAGAAGGAAGAAGGAGGTTTTTAAAAAGTGATACAGGGCTGAGAAAATGGCTCACCAGTAGAGTGTTGGCTGTGCAAGCATGAGGACCTGAATTTGATCCCCAGCACTCACAAAAAGCCGGTTGCAGTGAAGACTGTCTGTAACGCCAATGCTGGAGCAGTAAAAATACATAGATCCCTGGGACTCAGTGGACAGCCAGCTAGCCTAATGGGTGAAGCCGAATTCCAGCAAAAGATCCTGTTCCAATAAGCAAGGTTGACAATGTCGACCAACAACAACCAATGTTAACCTCTGGCCTCATATTCCTGCACTTGCATGTGCAAAGCCACCTGCACACACACACACACTCACACACACAAGCACACCCACATCCATACATGCACACCTGCACATAAAAGGATGTCAAGTTGCTACAGAGAATTGAAGATGTGGTGTTTGTTTTGTGTTGTTGTGCTTGTTTGTTGTTTTGCTTGGGAAGTTGTTGTATGGTGTTTTGTTCCAATGTGGTTGGGTTTTTGAGACAGGGTCTCACTATGTATCCCTGGCTGGCCTGGAACTTGCTATGCAGACCTGGCTGGCCTCGAACTCACAGAGATCTACCTGCCTCTGCCTCCCAAATGCTGGGATTAAAACTGTTTTGTATTATTTTCAAAGTTCTAAACAACAAATCACTAACCTATGAGGAGTTATCCACTGATTTGTTAACTCAATAGAAGAAGTGATTTCTCAGATTCAGGCATTAATTTGGGGGCATATGATCAGAAAAACCTAGGTATCTGTGGGGATGAGGTAAAAGGCAAAAAGAAGCAAGAGCCGAGAAAGCTAAGGCTGGAGACAGAAAAAATGCTGCTCTGTACCCTTCGGTTCCGGTCTGTCTCCTCCTTCCTCAGTAGCACTCCCCTAAGGACCCTGACCAGCCAACCCTCCTCATTCAGTCTCAAGAAGGTCCTGTGTTCTATGCTACAACAGAAAAGAAGGCCATGAATGCGGCACCTTCGGCCTCTTGGATTCCCATGCCTCCCCTTTCTCTGTCCTGTATGACACAAGGGGAAATGACTCCTCTCCAGTCTGGGCTGAGCCTTGCAGCCATGCTCTTAGGCGTCTGCCACCTCTTCCTCAGGCCTCTTGTCACACTGTCACAGTCCCAGGACTGCACATTTAAATGTGTTCAAGGCTTTCACACCTTTAACACAGGAAATCTTCCCTTAACACAGTTCCCTTTCTTTACTACCGTATTGCTGATTTATTTCGTTTTCATCTGGAGTTTGGGCTTTGTTTTATGTGGCCAGAATCATTCTACTCTAATCAATCAGACTCTAGATCTACTGCTTTTCTCCCTCCCCATTCATCGGCTCGCACCACAGCCATGCTCACTTACTGCTGTGGCCTAATGTTATGCCCTTCCAGTTGTAAGATGTTGAAACCCAATCCTGATGCAATGGCATTTGGAGGAGGGCCTTTGAGAGCTGATTAGAAGAGTGGAACTTCATGAATGAGATTGATGTTCTCATAAGAGAAGCCTGGAACAGTTCCTTGCACACTTCTATCACATGAGGACACAGGACGCTGACACATACATATATCTAAGAACCAGAAAATTGATCCTCCTTAGACCCCAGACCTCCCAGTGTCTTGGTCTGAGATTCTTCCCTGGAAGAATCTTAAGAAGTTAGTTTGCTGCTGCTCTTAATCTGCCCAGTGTATGATGTTTTGTTAGAGTAGCCCACATGGGCTAAGATGATTACATGTGAATGACTCCCTCGTGGGCCCAGCCCCAGGTAGCCAATCACTACTCTCATTGCCAGTGCCCTTTCTCATGAGTACTGTACCCGAGATGTCCCGCTGGACTGATGAGCATCTTTTACCACTCTTCAAATCTTGACCTCATAGTGTTCTCCATTAAGGCCTTCAAAACGTCTTCTTCAGTCATTCAAAGCAGAAACTGACACCTACTTTCTCCTTCAACGCTGGATCTGACCCATTTCCATCCCCCAGTCTATTCCCCAGACATCTCTCCAATCTGTTCCTACTTATCTTTTCTTCTTCCACCCACTAACTGCTCACTGAACTGCCTGGGTACACCTTACGCCATCCAGTCTATTCTCTGCAGCAGTGAGCATGATCTTTATACAAATCTGAATCCATCACACTCTTGCTAAAAATGCTTAGCTGACCTCTCAGTGGTCTTCTAATAGTGTGGTGACAGGAATCCTGTTCCAGAACCTATGCACACCCACACACACATTTCTCTTTTGCTTTCCCTACAAAATAAATTTCTCTGTTGATGGCCTGAAGCAACCATCTGCTCAGGGAATGATCTGGGTTGGGAGAGAAAAACACAAAGAAGTTGGGAGGAAATGTGCATGTTCCAAGTTTGTATTTTCAAAACGGTATTTTACAGCAGACTACTAGCTAGGAAAGACAAGCTTTTCTGAGCTCCTTTACCCCCTTTTTGGCTTAATCCAGAATCAAGTCTCTATGTCCAGACCACTGAATTTCCCAAAGTACAAAGAAGGCTCCCCGTCTATGTTCTAAGGTAGAAAACAGAACACCCAGTCCACATTGTGCGGCTTCCACAATGTGTCAGATACAGGGAGCTGCTCATGGGACCCAACAGCCTGTAGGATATATAGGAACAGCACTCAGAAGAGCCATGCTTCTCAAGCTTCAGGTAGACATTCAGGCCAAGGTGAGTTGGAGTACACACAAAAATGTAGCTAGAGCTGCAGTGGAGTTGGAACATCCTTGGGGCGGCTGCTAGGCTCTGACCAATTTGATAAAGAGGTAAAGAGAACCTTCCAAAAGGTGTGCAAGCAGTGGGCCACAGCCTCAAGCGACAGCACTGGTACAAAAGCAGTGAGCACTGGTGTACCAGTAGTGGACCACAGCCTCCAACAACAGCACTGGTGTTGGAACGTTCCTGGTCAAGAAGACAAGGAAATCAAAGGAGAGCAAGGACATTCCAAGTCACTGCATGACTCCAGGGTCTTTTTTGTCTCTGTTGTTACAAATGGCCAGCAGAACAAAAACCCTGGTGATTCCCTTGGAAGCCATCTGCAAAGGTTCTAGTAATGGGAACAAAATCTGAGCATGTCCACTCAGAAGACACTGCTTGGACTTTGAGTTCACTCTCAGCTTTGAAAAGACCAAATGTTTGCATAATAACCTTT